CTAAGGCTTAGGAAGAGCCACACTCAAAGGGCCAAAGAGCCGCATGTGGCTCCCGAGCCTCAGTTTGCCGACCAAGGTCCTAGAGGAACCTTATACGGTTGAGCAGGAGACGTCTGAAGGAACAACAGTGGGAGTTACCATCTACAAAGGCTGGAAATAAGGCCAAATTAAGGTGACTCACAGCGCTTAATCTAGAAGTGCTTGTTTAGTTGCTTTGCGAAATGCATCACCTTCTTACCGTTGTACAAAACGAAACTCCTCGCTTTCATAAGGCTTCGGGGAAAAGAAAAGCATGTCGCCAGGAAAGCGTTTGGAACAACGTTTCCCAAAGTGTGTTCCCACGGGGTGCTGTGGGGGAAACAAAAGGCAGAAGCGTTCCACAGGGGAAATACTCTGGGTGGGGAGGGCGTTACTGTCTCACACTTTAATGTACGAGCTCCATCCAAGTGGGAACCTCATCATCTCCTTCCCCAGGTTGTCTCCCGTGCCGAGCACAGGACCTGGTGGTGCCGTGAGGAATTAGCTGCAGGACTTCCCAGGGCCTTTAACGTTGTAGCCGGCCTTGGGAGTCATCGGAGCGGGCAGGGGTCTGCAGCCTTGCACACGCACAGGACAGGGGAACCCTCTTCCCGGGCATTTCACCGCACTTGGGCACTTGCAATACCCGCTGGGAAATTCTAGCTTTGGGTGCGATGAGGTGGATAGGCTTCAGAATGGACTTGATCGGGGAGTGAAATACTCACGTTGCTATGGATACTGGACTCTCAGCGAGACAGATTGTGAGGCAGGATGGACGCCCCGCTTCTGTGCTGGTCTCCCATTTGGGGCCCGTAGGCTGACCCTCAGAAGCCTCAGTTTGTTCACTGATAAAATGGGGAGAGGAATGATGTGCATCTGACTGGTGGTTGGGGGAAATAAACTACATTTCGTTGCACTTAGGAAAGTTCAATAATGTGTGGAGCAAAGGCTTTACTGGGCAAACACATCATGTTTACTGGTCATCATCATCATGATCATCACTCTCATTATGAGGCACTGAAGTGAAAGTAGGGTTTCTCTCTCCCTCTCTCCCTCCCTCCAGTACATTGTGGGGTGTGTTGAGTATGCCAGGCATTGTTGTTCTGGGGGAGCCAGTGGTGAGCGCAGTGAGGGGCCCGTCCTCCCTCAGGGGCCCTGGATTCTTTGTGATATAATGTGTTTACCACTGTCACTGTCTCTTAGATCATAAATCTAATTGCACACAATTTAGTTGAAGTTAATTTTCCTGAGGTCATTATATTAAAGGCCTGGCCCCCAGAGGCGCTTTTTCTTGAAGCATCAGATCTGTTCTTACACAAACAAGACAAGTAGGATCCATAGGTCGTATATAAAAATAAGATAAATAAAACTACACTAGCATCACTAGGTCAGGTAGGTCACACGGGGAGTGACAGTCCTTCCTGCCTCAGCAGGTCACCTCCATCCCACAGTAGGGTGGTCAGATTTCACAAATAAAAATACACAATACCCAGTTAAGTCTGATACTAAAAAGAGAGAATCAAATTTTTAGTATAAATATATCCCAAATAGTGTATGGGACATACTTATACTTTTTTTTTTTAAAAAAAGGTTGTTAATTTGAAAGTCAAGTTTAACTGGGTGTCCTGTTTTGTTTTCTTTTCATTTTTTAAGAAAATCTTTTAAATATTTTTTTATTTCAAAGGGGAAGGAAGAGGGAGAGGGAGAGAGAGTTGGAAACATCAATGATGAGAGAACCATTGACTGGCTGCCTCCTGCACGCCCCCTACTGGGGATCGAGCCCACAACCCCGGCATGTGCCCTTGACCTGGATCGAACCCGGGATCCTTCAGTCCTCAGGCTGACGCTCTATCCGCTGAGCCAAACCGGCCAGGGCATCCTGTTGTGTGTTTTTTTAATCTTCAGTGATGAGAGAGAATCATGGATGGCTGCCTCCCACACACCCCCTACTGGGGATCGAGCCCGAAACCTGGGCATGTGCCCTGACCGGGAATTGAACCCTGAACTCCTGGTTCAATAGGTCGATGCTCAACCACTGAGCCACACCGGCCGGGCTGGGTGTCCTCTGTTTTGTCTGACGACCCTCCCGCCCTGCACCCGCAGCCCGGCCACCTAGGCAGGAGGAAGACCGTTGCCTGTCACCTGTCAGCCTTTGAAGCCATCTTTGTGAAGGAGATACCGTTACTCCAAACAGCGTAGAGACCTTTGCTTCGGTATGAAATGATTGATGAGTGTTCCTGCCGGATGGGCAAGTGTTTCCAAATTAAAAGCCACTGATGGAGGCCTTGCATAGGCGCAGAAGCTACGCGGGGTGTGCCCTGTGGTCTAGGCGGTGCTTCAGGTGCCAGCTTTGCCAGTTACCTGGGCCACGGAGCCACTGCTCGACTCAAGGACTCCAGGCAGCGCCACCATCCCGTGCCTCATCCTCCGTGGAGGTGCTGGCCTGGTTGCCGGGCTTCCTCATTTCTCCGGGGCAGATGCTAATTAATGGAGACAATTCACAGCTGATTAGCTGTAGTTCCTGCAGTAATTACATTCGCTTGCTAACTGTTCAGGGGAGGATTTCTAACCCAGTTCTTATTTCACTCAGAGCTTAATTTGTTTTTTGAATTGTTTGGGCCCTTCGTTTAATAGCCATTTTATTTTTTTTTCTGTGTTGTTTTAGGTGCTATTAGATAATAAGTGAGTTTAATCTTTAAAAAAATACTCTGCGATAATGAGCTGTTTGCTGTAAATGGATTTCTAATGCCCCAACAAAACCTTCATTTAAATAACGTGAAAGTGGGTTCTATAGGCTGTTTGGGGAGCCAGGATTGGTGCGTGGAAGACACCCATTGTGACCCAAGTTCTCGTAAATATTTATATAAAGAACATGCGGAATGGGGACCCAAGATTTTAATTCTGAGATCATTGATGCATCAAGAATTCCAATGCAGAAACTATACCTTTTCTTGCATATTTTTAACATCCTAGAAACATGGGGAAAGTATGTTTGTGTGTGTGTGTGGGTGTGTGTGTATGCACCCACTCATGTGCTTTTCTACCCCAAAACTTTTAAATTATTTGAAGCCGTTTTATTGAGGTATGATGGACGTACCAAAAAACCCCTGCCTACTGAACGTATACACCTTGAATGTTGGAAGATCCGTCTGCGTTTATTTCTGGTGTCCCCAGCCTTCCGAGAGGCCAGATAAAGGCCTTTCTGAAGCGCAAACACATACATCTTGTGGGAAAATCCTTGTAAAGATATTTGTCCAAATGGACCCGAGGGCTCGTTGTGTGAGTGAGTATGGAGGTGTCCCTTCGCAGGGTGCATTGTGCACCCGGGGACCCTAGCAGCGCTCCGGAACCATGAGGGTCTTTGGTATAAATCCTGCTTAGTTCGTGGATCCCAGACGTGATAAAGTGCAGCCTGCCAGTCCCTTCTGAGCAGGAGTCACGGGCTCAGAGTCAGGGGCTGAGAGCCCCCCTGGAGAAAAGTGTTAGTGGGTGTATGGAGAGGATTTATGTGGGTCTTCCATTTCTATGTTCTATTTATTCCCTCCCTCCCTCCCCCTTCCCTCTCCTTGGGAAAATTGTGCCTTCTGCTTTAAATAATTACTAGCTCTGTTTACATTAGAGCAGCGGTTCTCAACCTGTGGGTTGCGACCCCTTTGGGGGTCGAACGACCCTTTCACAGGGGTCGCCTAAGACCATCGGAAAACACATATATAATTACGTATTATTTTTGTGATGAATCACTATGCTTTCATTATGTTCAATTTGTAACCATGAAAATACATCCTGCATATCAGATATTTACATGACGATTCGTAACAGTAGCAACATTACAGTGATGAAGTAGCAACGGAAATAATTTTATGGTTGGGGGTCACCACACCATGAGGAACTGTATTAAAGGGTCGCGGCATTAGGAAGGTTGAGAACCACTGCTTCAGAGAATGGAAGGGATATACACATTTCACCCTTTGGAGACCAAACCCCCGTGTTAATTAATGCATGAAAGGAAGGAAATCATATACTTTGTAAGAAGGAGGGCATCCTTTCACCATTTAAAAATCACAAAAATAATATAACGGCGGCGAATCATGCCCACAGGCTCTTTCCACCTCGCCGGGCCAGTAACAGGATGTTTAAGGCCACCAGACGCCCCGCTTACACCACCCGGACCCGAAAACCCATTTCTGCCCCAATCCAACTTTTTTACATTTTGATAACAGGTCTGGAGAAGTAAAGAGCTTACGTCTGAAATGCGGATACCGTCTTATTTGTGATGGTCTGAATGGGCCATTGTGTGAGGGAATTAAAGAAAAATTGCTGTGTTCATGGGATCCCGCTTATTTTTTAAACCTCTTTGCACTTAATGTTACATTGAGAGATTAAATATCACCCTTTTCAACAGCTCCGATGGCTGGAGATAGGGCTTGAAACCCTGGAGATTTAAAAAAAAATAAAGTCTTTGGTCTGATTGTTTATTGATATTCACACCACACCCCATTCGCTAGAAAATAGAATTTTGAGTCCTGGGAATTGGATTCTTTTAATTCACATCTTAGCCTACCCACACTTGTGACATCTGTTCTGGAAAAGTAAAGCTGTGAAATCCCCACGTGTTTTAAAAATGTGTCAAGGTGTTTTTTTGGGGGGAGGAACACTCTTTGCCTTCTAACCTCTGACAAAGGCCCCTGCCGGTGGGGGAGGGTGTGTGAGGGCCTCCCTTTGCGATGAGTCTCGATGAGAAACAGGGCGCTTTTCTGGGGAGGGTCAAGTTCGCGGGACTCTGTGCTTTATTTTCCTGCGGGAGCCAGCTGCCAGGGTACCACCCGGCTCCCCTTCACCCCGAGGAAACCCCCTCTGTCCTCTCCTAACCCCGGCATCGTATTCTTCCCAAATCCGCCCCCCCCCGACCCCCGGCATTAAGGGCACCACCAGCGTCCGCTGTCCGGCTGCGTACTAACCTCAAACAATCTGCTCTCTTCCAGTTTGGGAATAACAGTAACTACATGAACATGGCCGAGGCAAGCAACGCTTTCTTTGCGGCCAGCGAGGTAGGTGTCTGCTTTCGTGTGTCTGTCCACGGTGTGTGCGTGCCCTTTGGACCATGTAAGAGGCTGGAAGGGGAAAGTGAAGGAGTGAATTTATCTCTCTCTCTCTCACGTGGCACGAGGCAGCGGCGTAGGAGGAGAAATGAGAAAACCCTATCAGAGAAGAAAATAGCCTGACAGGTCTCTCTCACTTGTCCAAGGCTGTTGAGATCGTGCGCCACGCACACACATCTCCTGATGAAAAGAAATACAGATGCAGACAAAAGGAGATATGTGAGGAAGGATGTGAAAGCTAGCTGTGCACCCTGTGTTGATACCTAAGCAGACAAGTGGTTATTTTGGAAACTAGGATGGAAGTGACTTTTGATAGACAATGTGTTAACCTGGCCGGTGTGGTTCAGTGGTTGAGCGTCCACCTATGAGCCAAGAGGTTGCTGGTTCGATTCCTGGTCAGGGCATAGACCTGGGGTTGTAGGCTCGATCTCCAGTAGGGGGCGTGCAGGAGGCAGCTGATCAATGTTTCTCTCTCATGGATGTTTCTATCTCTCCATCTCTATCCCTCTCCCTTCCTCTTTCTCTAAAAATCAATGAAAAACATGTTTAAAATGAAAGTATTTCAACTTCACATAGCTCTGAGGATGACTTCATTAAGTTGCCATGTTCTGGGAAAGGATGTGGCAGACAGTATGGTTGTTTCTTGGGTCTTCGGTGGGAGGGATGTGAAATGAGTGTGTTGGTTTTTTGTCAGATCCCCACTGCCTAGCACAGTGCCTGGTGCGTAGTAGGCGCTCAATAAATATTGATGGTATGAATGAATGGATGGGCAAGCTCCAGACTTGGCCAAAGCCAGGAAAGCTGAAGGATGGAATGTACAGGCAGCAGCACATGGACTGTGGGTTTGCGTAGGGTTTACTAGTGCAAATGGAACACACACCTTCTTGTTGCTATTGTTATCGAATTGCTATCTTACTGACTTATGGCTGCTGTCTGGTCCCATTGGTCTGCCCTCCAGAAAAACCTCCATCTTGATTAGGTCAAGGAAATAGTGTCCTAAAAATGGTAGGCAGTGAGATTTAAGATTTTATTTTATTTGTTTTAGCTACATCTTTATCATTGAAAGTATTACGTAGGCCCCCCTTTCCCCCCATTGACCCCTTCTAGCCTGCCCCCTCCCCCCCAGCTCAGGCCTTTACCACCCCATTGTGTGAGTCCATGGGTGATGCATATACGCACACAAGTTCTTTGGTTGATCTCTTCCCACCCATCCAGCCAGCACCCCCATTTCCTCTGAGATTCCGCACTCTGTTCCATGCTCCCATGTCTCTGGATCTATTTTGTGTATCAGTTTATTTTCTTCATTAGATTCCACATGTAAGTGGGATCATGTGATATTGGTCTTTCTCTGACTGGCTTATTTCGCTTAGCATCATATTCTCCAGGTCCCTCCCTGCTGTCTCAAAGGGTAAGAGATCCTTCTTTTTTATAGCAGCATAGTATTCCACGGTGTAAATGTACCACAGCTTTTTATCCACTCGTCTACTGATGGGCACTTGGGCGATTTCCAGATCTTAGCTCATGTAAATGAGCTAAAACAGTGAAATTGGTCCAAATGGAGCCACTTGGCAGTTCCTGCAATAAAAAGTCTTCATCTTCCAAGTATATTCAAATATAGGAAACGGAACGAGCTTCACCGCTTCCCCCCAGAGGATGAAAAACATAATGGCTTCGCCAGGAATCTGGGTCCAGGGAAGCACCTGGCATGAAAGAAGCGAACCTGGAGAAATGATTAGGGAAAAAAAACGGGGAACCCAGATTTAAGGGTGATTGTAGACGAGTCCCTTTTTAGGGTGACCATCCTCTCTCTCGCCCAGAAGACAACCCCGATGAGGGAATAGCGTTTGGCACTGGCTGCCGGGTTGTTTGTGATAATGAACACAAGCCCCATCTGTACGGACAACACGAAGCTTCATTCTGTAGGATTTTTTTCCGTCCATTTGAATCAAACATTGATGAAAGCGCCACTGGCAGCAGCTGCGCGGAGACAATTTAATTCCAGCTGTGATAATTCACCGTGTCAGACATCGGCTGTTATGTGTTGATACAACAGTTCTCTAGATTTGCATTTTTATCAAAAGGAACAAATGTTTTGAGCATTTCAGTACAGATGGTATTTAACCATGTACGCACTCCTTAAACATGTTCAAGGTAAACACTGAAAAGTCAATATCTCTAAGAAGTCATCATCGAAACTCCGATATGATTAATCTGATCTCGGGCAGAAGGCAGAGTGTCCCAAAGTCAGTAACTTTGTGTGTGTGTGTGTGTGTGTATGTGTGTGGTACATGGTTACTTTTATAATCTCAGATAACCAGTTTTTTGTTATGTTTTTCTCTAAGGGATGCTCACCACTGTATTTAATGTATTGCTTCTCTTTAAAAGAGGTGGAAGATTCTAGCATTTTCTTGGTTGTGCACTGTAATATAATTTTATCGTATGGTTTTATTAGGTTTATGATATAGTAAGTCGTATACTACATTCTACCTTAAAATTATCTTGTCTTTTGTAAAATTATACTGTAAGGACATTATATATATACTAGTATATATGACATCTCGTATTCCTTAGCAAAAAGAAAAATGAAAACCTACTTAATTTTGACTGCCTAGCATAAGATGTGCTTATGTTAGAGTTTAAGAGGCAATCTTAGGTAATGATTTCCCAGAACATCTTTCTTTTTTTTTTTTGGAACAAAAAATAAAGCTGGAGTAAATGTTAACGCACTACATTATAGCCTGTGCCTCATTTCCCCATCACTACATTAAAAGTAAATTTATTTGTCTTTGTTGTTGTTTTTTACATTTTAATGAGCGCAGACTAATTCAGGAAGCCTTTAGGTTTGGTGCGGTCAAGTCCAAACTGTGCCCCCAACCAACCCCCAGAGCTAATCCCGGGGGGACCAGGATGCCCTGAGTGTGAAATTCACACGTCGGCTGCGTGTGTTCTGTCTGTGTCATGCTTACCCTGACCATGTTTAAAGTACTTTAAATATTTATTGAAATAATATTTCAAGTGTTAATTACAGTGGTAATGAAAACAGCCAAATGCCACATATCAAGAATGAGTGTTTATCCGTATTGTTAATGTGATGTGTTAGATTTCATTAAGCAGTAATGGGGTAGCAAATGAGTCACAAATTACAGTTGCATCTGTTACTGCACCACATTAGTGCCAAAATAACAGCAAAGGCAGCCATAGGGCGACATTCATCAGCCAACCACATTCTCGGCCAACGCATCCCTTTGTGTTTGAGAACTCAGGGTACCAGCGTAAGCAATCAACCTCTTTGCGGGGTCATTATTCGAACAAATATGTCAGAAAATCTAATAGTCTCATCCTAGCTTTCAAATGTGTTACTATGCAATAAAGTTTTGCATCTATTGAATCTACAAAGGACCTCGAGATATGCGATGGTCTGCTATGAAACTTCCTTGTCTTGTAACCTATTTGTTTCTGGTGAGATTAAAAATCACAGTTGACTGGTTCTGTATGCAAGGAACGTGGTGCTCCCCCCCACAACCCCCTTGATTTTGTTTCTGTTTTCTCTCAAGTGGCTGTTAAATTATATTATCAATTCCTAGTTTGAATAATGGTGATTTTCAGCTCTAAATGAGTTCTCTTAACCAATTAGGGCAGATTCAAACGATCTTGCATCAGTTCACTCTTCAAAAATGTTATTAATAATAAATAGACTGTAAATTGGACCCTCTGAGCTGAGGATTAAAAAAATCGGAGTGGCCACACGACCTCTTCACACTCTAGCCAAAATAACCTTCTAACCTGGACCACCCTCCTTTCCCCCAATCCAAGTTCAAGTTTAAGAAAGGTGGTTCGTCCTGATTTACATCCAAAGGCCGTAGTTTACAACACCGTCTTTAAGAATCTAAGTAGCAAGGAAGAAGGCAGTGCAGTATTTACTCTTAGGTCTTGAGAAATAACACTCCCCTAAGTCAGCAACCCCAATGGAAATAGTATATCTCTAATCCATATATCGCTATGTTCATTCTGTAGATGGCTTTTAAAAGTAGAAGACTGGCAGAAAATGTTCTGATAAGTAATTGTCAAAATCTTCATAGCAAAAGGAATAACTCTCCGTAGAGTTTAAATAAAAGCACAGGAACATTTTAATAGATGATCTGAAGAAAGTCCTTAATGTAAAACGTTGTAGGACAAAACAGTAACAATTTCCATAGAAGCATTTGTGTGTGTGTGTGTGTGTGTGTGTGTGTTTGGGGTTTTTTTGCCCTTGGGAATATATCAATAAGGAAGTTGAAAAAGCAAACCACAGATTTAATACGACTTGTTTTATATGTTGTGACAGGGAGTAAGTATGTGTAATGTTCACTGCTGGATTCGTGTGGTGTGTGTGTGTGTGTGCACCACAAAATCGTCAGCGTTTTACGAAGCGTGTGTGTAATGGGAGCACGAAGCGTGTGTGTAATGGGAGCGGTGTGAGCTGTTTCACTAACATATCAATAAAGTGGCAATTTGTTATATAGCCAAACCTAATGTCGCTGCTGCTCCAACTAACAACAAAGACAGATGCTGCTAATTAAGTACGCATTAAAAAACTGTTAATACGGATACTCCATTAAAACCATATGATAATGAGACTTAAATCTTTAATCAGAATGATCAGCAAAACTTTCTATGTGGAAATCTGTGCTTAAGATGTTTCCATTGGAGAAATAAATATTTGGCCTCGCCGTGGAGTTGTTTTCATGCACAAACCTTGCTGCTTCTCTCCAGGGAGAAGTGAAGATGGTAAGAACAGAGTGTGAAAATATCTGTGTCTTGTTTCCTTTTGTTTTGCAGACATTCCACACACCAAGTCTTGGGGATGAGGAGTTTGAGATCCCCCCAATCACGCCTCCCCCAGAGTCGGACCCCGCCCTGGGCATCCCGGATGTGCTCCTGCCCTTTCAAGGCCTCAGCGACCCCTTGCCCTCCCAGGGCAGCGAATTCACACCCCAGTTCCCCCCTCAGAGCCTGGATCTCCCGTCCATCACCATCTCAAGAAATCTCGTGGAACAAGACGGCGTGCTCCACAGCAGTGGGTCCCACATGGTAGGCAGCAAGCTGATTGCTTGCAAGTTTTTTTTATCCTCTGTGCTTCTCCTGGCGAAGCTCTGAGATCCACGTTCTGTCTTCTGGGGGGACACGTGGATTGTTTTTCCTTCCGCCGTGTGAACACCGATACCAGATCCATCTCTGGTATTGGCAAGAGGGCACGGGGTTGGTTGATCGTCACATAGGAAAGAGGGCGTTCCCACAAGATCTTTCTGATTTGAAAGGATGTTTTAAAAGTCAGGTCCATGGATTTGGAAGCAGGCCGTCTTCCCCGGCCTTGGGTTTAGCAGAGAGATGGACTTGAGTTGCAAGGTTGCCCAGGCGAGAGTTGAGAAATGGTAGCCCTTACCGAGTGCCCAGGTCTTTTGCGTTCGGTGGGTTTATCACATCACGTTTATGATACACGATCTGCTCCTACCTCAAATGAAATATCCAACCGAGATACAGAGAAAGGGGGAAAGAATCATCGCTTCTAACCAGCAGAGGAAATTATAGATTCGGTTATTGTGGGAAATATACCTAATTGTGTTATTTATTGTCATAAACATGGCATAAGGCACTCCGGAGAGCGGAGATTGCTAATGCAATCGCTTTGGTTCTATTTTTCTTAGTGAGCAATTATAGTCGGCAATCGCCAGAGGAAAATCTCCTTAAGTATTTTAAACTCTTCTGCTGGGATTTAAATTTTTTTTTCCTTCTTCACCATAGGACATAAAGCATTTGTGTCTGTCTAGGTGAGGTACTAAGCAGGCATTTTAAAACAAGATGAATCGTTTAGAAGGCCTTTTTTTAAAAAACCCTGATAAAATGAAACAGATGTGTTGGTATAACAAAGACACAGATCCTCGTGCCTGTTGACATATTTCTCTGCACGCCAGGACCCTGGCCGGTGATGTTTACCGGGTTCCTGGTTAATTCCCCAGATGACAACAGACAATTGCAAAATACGGAGTGGATTAGGGTGCGGAGAATCAGAAATATAAGAAATATAAGATTACTTTCCCAAATAGGATTGCGGCCGCATAATTTTCTTTGCCTGTGATCTTTTGTGCTTGAGCTGAACATCAGGGTTTTGTCTGTTTTTTTTTAATTTTTACTTTTTTTTTTGTCGGAAAAGAACGTAGCCAACAGTCTGGAAAGGGTCATTAACTATTCATAAACGTTCCTCGCCATCGCAAAGAATTGTTTCCTGTGGACTTCCTGACATTTATGTCCCTTTGACCCAGGAAGAGGGTCCCGGATGTCTCTTCCTCCACAGTCAGGTTTGCCATGTTGAGCCTGGGAAGGAATGAAGAGGGTGCTTGGTCCCCAAGGGAGTTAGCCAGGGCTCCCCATTATTCATAGATGCTCAGCGAGGCTCATTCAAGTCTCGGAAATAGTTACAAGACCCTATAGTGCGTGCTACCATGTGTACTCTATTAAATTGGTAAATATTGATTATTAATAATCGAAGAATCTGCCTTTACGTGAAACATCTGATGAATTACCTTCCCTTAAAGCCACAATCCTGTTATTGCTGCTATAAAAAAAGTGTAAAGGAGGCATTTTGACTATGAAATTTCATTTCATGGTCAATCGCATTTACCGTATGGGGAAGAACTAAAGATGGAATCATAAAATAATTATGATACTCGCATCCACTTGGAGAGCGGTGCTTTCGTGGGCTGGCGTCGGGAGAGGGGACTCAATTTTTAATGCTGCTTTCGTGATGTATTGCTAATCACTGACGCAGCTGAATTATGCCATTGATTTTTAAAAGGATAAGTACATTAGCTGAGGGCGGGCTGCTGTCGTGGCGTTTGCACGGACCTCATCCCGTTCGCCGGCGCCTGTCTGAAGTTTTTGCTGCAGCCCGGTGATATTTATTTGGGCTGGAAACAAACTCATCTCGTTGAAAAGTCGAGTAGAATTTCACCTTGAAGAAATGTCATGGCGTTTTAAATCACCAATCTTGGGGGAGGGGGTGGAGGTGGTGGGAAAAAATGTACCCAGACAAAATGATGATGAATACAACGTGTCGTTGGCTTTGTTCTATGTATGACTTGACATGCTCACCTATAAACTCGGATCTGGGATCGCCGGAGGCATGGCGAAAAACAGGTTGTGTCAAGGTTCGCCCGTCTCTCTCCGGGCACCCAGTTGGCCGGCGACACCATCATGGTCTGCGGCAGCTCCTGCGAGATTTCCCTCAGGAAGGTCACCGGGAAAATGACACGTCATACCGTCTCCATCACGCATGCGGCGTCCCTGGGTGCATGGATAGTTCATACCTGGTGCACGGCAGACGTGTTAGTATCCCCACGAAGCGGCTGTCTGTTGAGGATGGCGGGGGTGAGGGAAGACCATCCTACAGGAGGCAAAGCCCGCTTCTTGATGTTGCGTGACACCAGCTTTTGTTCAGGAAACCATTGGTTTCCCTTTCAAGAGAGTGACGTTTTGTCACAGGACTGATCGGCTGCGCTTTTGTTGGCAACAAACACAACAGGTTTGTCTTCCTGGAATGTCTGCCGTTATATTTTAAAACAGAGAGCAGGAGCAAGAGGGGGCGATGGGAATGACTCCAAGGAAGCAGACTCAGATACAGAGAACAGACGGACAGCTGTCAGAGAGGAGAGGGGTTGGAGGCTGGGTGGAAAAGGTGAGGGGATTAAGCAAAAAAAAAACAACAAAAAAAAAACAAGACCCCACAAAAATCAAACACAACATACACAACAAAACTCATAGACCAGACAACAGTTTGGGGATTACCAGAGGGGAAGGGGGGCCGAGGGAGGTAGAAGAGGGTACAGGGGGGATAAATGGTCATGGCAGGAGACTTGACTTGGGGTGACGAACACACAATACAATCTGCAGAGGATGCATTATAGAATTGTACACCTGAAACCTATGTAATTGTATTCACCAATGTCACCCCAATAAATTCAATACAAAGTCAAAATAAATAAAAAAAGACAAAACTTAAAAAAACACACACCATGAGTCTAATAATCAGCATTCGCATTTCGGAATATGCAAATGATGCTCCGGTATTCAAAAGCGAATTGTGGAAAAAATGGAAAGTCGGTGCCTGTGTGACTTCAAAGAAAAACCTCCATTTGCTTGCGGTGGATACGTGTATTCCAAAGCAGCGTGCGGTTGACGAGTAGAAATCAACAGTACGTTTTGGTTAAAAAAAAAAAAATCCTTACCTCTACTCATTATTGCCAGTTCAGATGACCATCTGGAAATTATTTTAATCTGCAAAAGATTGCAATCTGCAAAATCTACAAGCAGCACGCCAAAGGGCTTTTGTGGGTTTTTTTTAACACCTCTCTATAATCTGCCGGCCTGCCGAGTAGCATCGACATCAGTAGTACATCAATTTCAGAAAGTGGATTATTTTTACTAGACAGCTATTGTGACATATTGGGTCAGTCATAAATGAAAGATATTCATGCAAGCATGCAATACTTGTAATGAAGTCTCACTCTGACCTTCTGTATGATTGATTCTGTAATTTAGTTTTCTCAGGCAGTGCCTGAAATGAAATGAAATCATGTTGAACAAGTTTTGAATACCCACAGTGCACCAGGAGAAGAAAAATCTACAGCCCTAGAGGCTTGAGAGAGAGCCGCTGAACGATTTATCTCTATGCTATTATAGCCTTTGCCAGCATTCAACATTCTTTTTTTTCTCTCCCCTTTCCCTTATTTGGCTTAAGTACTTAATTCTGCAGGTAGCTGTAAATGGGAAAATAAAATGCTGTTCAGATTTAAAATGACAGGACAGGAGTATGTGCAGGGAACTGATAAAATATCTTGAATAGAACTGACCTTTCATGTAGCTGAAAGTTACTGGGGGATTCATCCTCATAATTACCATATAGATTATTTTTATTTCTTCCCTGCAATGAAACATTTCAGAGAGCAGGAGTGCTGATTGAATGAAAATTGAACTTGTTAACATTCTTTTCAGCTTAGCCTGTTGTACATAACAGAAGGTTAGCTTTGATGAATTTCAAAATTCCCTTTGATAGCCGAGGAACAGACAGTAAAATAATTGTCTCTTGTCTGATGTTTTGTAGGCCCCGCCCCAAAAGAGAATTTATAAAACACACTGATAATTCCCGGGCGTTTTCTTCATGCATTATAGTTCCTGTTTGGAGGACTGACATTTTCTGTGGGGCATGGGCTCTGGATTTAATTGTGGTAGCACATGTTTATAGAAAAATGCCACACGGGTGCCCTTGTAATATCAAACATAGTATTAGAAAATTGAAAAAGATGGAAGTGAAGGGGGGTATATTTGAGTATGGCCGCTTTGTGTCTGTTAAGGAAAGAAAGAGAGAGAAAAGTCCTGTAGGAGACGAGCATGCAGAGGAGAAAATGATAAGCTTTTAAAATATTCATAAGACACTTAAGTCATAATCTAAACAGATGTCATTTTTGACGACCAGAAGAAAATGGAAATATACCAAAGTAAGACATCTGAAATGATCAGGCTTATGTTAGATATTTTTATGTTTCAGACAGTCGTTTGGTGTAAGGCTCTGATTTTGAAGTGGAATTATATTTTGTTTCTACAAAATGACTGGCTTGCCATTTCTAGACTCGGAAAAGTCTCCCTTTAAGAGAAATAGCAGACTTTCAATTAATACCTTGTTTTAGCAATGTTGCTTAATGTGTTACAGATAACACAGTTATTTCATGGGTCATTAATGTGTTTAATGCGTGGAACGTTCTATTAAAACAAGCCCTGATGATTGTTATGAACATGTGCGTTGCCATCGTCAATAGAGTCTGCAGAACGAAATTCCACAGGATGATTACAGAGCCATGGGGGTGCCAGGGGGGCGACCAACAATTTCTCAAACAAATTGAATGATCATTTCAGTAACATTTATTTTTGGTCAAGTCATGGTCAAAATATTTTTACTGTAAGTTACCAGTAGCAAACGCATGACTTACGTAATTTGAATGGACTAGGACCCATCTGTTCAAAGTCTAAATTATAAATTA